GAAGGCATATTGCAGTCTTATAAAATGCCCAGCCACCATCTGGGCGAGAGAGGGTGATTATCTTTTTTTTTTTATATATAAAAAAAAACAAAACAAAACAGCCCTTTTGGTCCTGGCTCCTTCTATTCTGGGGAGCGTCGGTCCGGTTCCTATTCCACCGGCAAGTCAAAAGGAAAGATTACTTTACATCATAGACTCACGCTTCCTCCCGTTTGGCCGAAGGACCCCTGAACAGCATTGATTGCTCCACCATTGGTGGAGGATCGACTGTCAGCTTGCCATGACTCGCTCTTTCCTCTCAGGCCAATGGTGGAGCTAGTCCCCTAGAAAGAGCTCATCCATAATTTCTGCTAGAATGGTGGAGCTAGTCCCCTAGAAAGAGCTCATCCATGACTCGCTCTTTCCTAGAATGGTGTCAGCATCGATACTTCAACTCACGGGCATAACCAGCCCTGCCTAATGAAGCTATGTCCCCTAGAAAGAGCTTATCCATAATTTCTGCTTGTTTATACTTCCCTCCTCGCCAGTTCAGCCCGTGAGTTGAAGTATCCCTCCCCCCATTGAGCTTTCTCCCTTTTTTAGATGCTACCAGAACCCTAAACCCTGAACCCTCCACTATTGGTCCTCGCTGTCCCTTCCGGGCTGGGATTTAAGGTTATGTCTCTATTCTATTAGAGTGATACGGGAATCTGTCTTCCTTGTGCTTTTACTCTAACATCCTTTGAGTCAGGCTTTTTGTCGCCCGCTTCACCCGCTTCTACCTTCCAAAAACGTTCTTCCATTCCCAGGCTGTGCCTTCCCTAAAGTAATGGTATAGGTACACCGTTTCCTCTTCAAGATTCTGGTCCGGAGCTGCCTTGCCCTTGCGCAGTTAAACTCTGCCAAATACTTCTTCCCGATTTGGAGTTGTGCCAGTCCTTCCAGTAGATGCGGTCGTCTCGTAGATCAGCAACTTTCCCTTTTATTAACCATATCCTACTGAACTTCAGTCTTGCCTTCTTTCGCTGTTCCTTGTTCCCTGACCATGATAGTTTGATTTTCCGCCAACGGCATAGGATTTCCACCTGTATCATTGCTTTCGTCTCCAGCCAAATCAACTCTCGTGAGTTGGACACTCCTTCGATCGTTCTGCTGCATCTTTCCTTCCATATGATCCATAGTGTCACCTTCCTGACGAGTCCATACCAAATCTTTTCCGCTTTCCGGAGTTGTTCAGGGATGTTAGTCAGAAGGAGAAGTTGGATGGGTTGTTCTGGGAAAGGAGTCGGGACAAGGGATTCCCAGAGGGTCGAGGCTCTTGCCCAGAATTCTGTCGCCTCCCTACAGTGTATTAAGCAGTGTACTATATCCTCTACAGCCCCTTCCGTACATACTTTGTATTGATCGGAACTGTCGGGGTCTGAACCCTTCCGCCTAACGTGTAGCCACTGGTTAACTGGTAGTGCCGCATATATAATCAGCCATTGGAGGCTTTTGATTTTGATTGGTCTGATCATTTTATAAATCTTCCACGGGATCTGTGTGATATTGTCTGCTTCCCGTCCTATTAGCTTCTGCTACCTGGCCTTGATCACTGGTTCTGGGTCTTTTGTTTTTAGCAGTAGCTCATACCCAAATTTGACCGTGTAATCCTGAATGGGGGTGAGCCTCTTTATGTTTGTCCTCCTTTCTGGTTTCCATGCCCACTCCATGGGTTCGAACTCCAGGTTGTGTAAGGCCGTGTCGGTTCTGAAGATGAACTTCGGCCATGTGCCTAAGACTAAGACCCTTACTTTTCTGAGCAGGAAGTAATCCATGACTGTCGTTTCCACGTTGATGTTCTTAATCGATGTCATCCCCTTCGTGGAGTGATCAATTGGGAAGGAAGTGAACACGGCTAGAGTGACTGATCCAGGTTGTAGGTGTAAGAATTGGAAGGCCCTAGAGGGGGAGGGGGAGGGGGAGGGAGAGGTTTCCTGCACTTTGATCCCCCATTCTCCACGTTTCCGAGGCTCCCCTTGTTTTAGCATATCTTTCCAATCCTGAGGAACAAGATTAATAATGTACTGCAGGTTGGGTCCTCTTCTATGACATCCCTTCAAACGTTCGCTTAACTCCAGTTCAGAGACTCATTCCTTCTTTTCTTCGTTCCACAAGTGGCTGATTGTCCAGACTCCATTCCTTACCCATGACCGCCATTTGTGGTCTAAGAACAAGGGTTCATCACGTTCGCCCTTCAACCACTCGTTGCCAAAGAGAGGTTGTATCAGCACCTCGTCCTTAGATTTTGGTCTGGTGGTCTTTTTTGGCATTATTTCCCTCCAAATCTGGATTAGAGATGCCCAGTACCGTGTATGACGGTTGTCTATATTCCTTTCTACTTCCCTCCTGGGTCTTCTTCTCGCCCTTTTCAAGGACCATTCCTGTCTGCTCTTATCAGCAGCACTAGCACAGGAAGAGAGTTAAAAAAAAAAAAAAAAAAAAAAAAAAAGGACCATTCCTTATTCATTAGGTTGTCTATATTCCTTTCTACTTCCCTCCTGGGTCTTCTTCTCGCCCTTTTCAAGGACCATTCCTTATTCATTACCCAGAATAGCCCTGTCATGTTATTTGGCGATGCCACCGGAGCTAAGGCGCTTATGCTGTCCAGGGCCAGTTTATTCCATGCCGTTTCTGGTTTGGTCAACAGTCGGACTATCCATTTGACTTGAAGAGCTCTCGTCTCACACCTGGGTGATTATCTTTTTTTGGTTTGAGATATTAAACTGATCAGAACAGATACTACACACTTGGCTTTTATTATCTTTCTTGTTTTGAGATATTAAACTGATCAGAACAGATACTACACGTTTTTTATTTAAGCACACACACACACACACACACACACACACACACACACACACACACACACACAAAGCCCCTTCAATTCTGGGGGGCACCAGTCCGGTTACTTATCACCAGCAAGCATGTTTGTACATCCAAAGAAGGGGGGAGATCAGATCGGGAAAGGGTTACAGCCCAACCCTTGTGACGTTGATAGTCTACCAAGGGGGTACCTGCTAAAGGGGGCCCACCCCCCAAACCAATTTTTATTGATTTTCATTGATCGTTAAGACTTGAAAGTTTAAACCACTACCTCCGAACCTCCTTTTCCTGACGCAGATCCCCCGTCCTCCATTCTTTACCAAGACAACATGGCGTTGCTTTTTTTTTTCCTTCCTTTCTTTTGGCTGGTGCCGCCAGCTGGATATATCTCAAGATCGCTGCCCCCTTATTGGTCCCGTAGCCCTGTTCATATAAAGCCTCGGAATGTTGCATATTCAGTTCTCCACATTGCCTGGGAAAGTCAGTGGTGGTTTACCAATTCTAAGTGATTTTTTCAAAAAAAAAATCTGGTTTTTTTTTTTTTTTTTTTTTTCCAGGACCAAAAGGAGGCCGGGAATCCCCCCACATCTCAACCTGGAAGACGGGGGCCATTACCCAGATTAGGCTCGTACTGGAAACCAGGTCCAGTGTCCCTTTCTCCTGTCAAACTACATGCTGCTCCTGAACTGGATAAGCAGAAGACAAAATAGCCCTAAACGCAAGAACCTACCAACCTGTCCCTAGGTTACATTCAGGAGCCGAAAGAAGTGACANACGAGGCCTTGTAGAGAGCTGGGGATGCTATGGGGGGGCATCCTAAAGGACAGTTGGGGGTTGCTGACATAGGACAACACTGGCCGGTGTTGGACTGAGTCGCGCCGCTCTGTAACCTAACAGAAAGGGGGCGTGAGGCCTTGATGAGTTTGTCAGAGAATATAGTCGATTTTAGTGAGTGTTGTTATGAACTGTTGGAAATCCCTTAGATACTCGAGTGTTCGGAAAACTGCGGTGGATTTCAGGAGGTGTTCAGTGATCTTAAAAGGAGCCCAAAATTGCCGATGTAGCATAGTCTTCCATGGGTTCTCATGCTGATCATCATCATCACCATCATCACCATCATCACCATCATCATATGAGGGACGCTGAGCCGAAAGAAGTGACAATCCTGCCCAAGGCTGATATTATCAACAAGGAGCTTGAGGCCGGGGTCCTCACATGTGAGGACCCCGGCCTCAAGCTCCTTGTTGATAATATCAGCCTTGGGCAGGATTGTCACTTCTTTCGGCTCAGCGTCCCTCATATGATGATGGTGATGATGGTGATGAT